TTATATATGCATTTTCATGTTCCTTATTATCTCCGATATTTTTTTTTTCTTTCTTTTTTCTTTTCAAAACAATTTCTTTAACATTGCGGACAACATTTTTTCTTTAATAATCCGAGTTTTTTTTAAGGATATCACACGGATGTACGCTTCTTGGTTTTTTTTTTTTTTTTTTTTTTTTTATATCTTTTTCTTCTTTATATCGACATGAGTGCGAATATATCGCATTATATTTTTCTATCGAGTTAATAACAAGAAAAAAGTTGAAATTCACTTTTTATTTCTATCATCAATGACTTTGTTAATCTTAATCGATGATAGATAGGTGATCAACGAAATGATCTATGTAAGTTTTGAAAGGATCATTATCCTTTCAAAGAGAAAGAGATCGAATTTTTAATTAGTGTTCTCGAATCAACAATAGTTGACACAAGATGATTTCTTCATCTCTCTTTTCTTGTCTTCTTCATTATTATTATAATCACAATATCTATTTTTAATCCGAAACATTTGTTCCGCAAATAATTTTTCGCAAAATATCACGTATCCTGTCGTAAGTTGCAAAACTGATGCCTACCGCTATTGGACCCTTAACCCAATTCATACTTAATCCTTTGAAAAAAGCCATCAATCCTTCTTCTCTAAAAAAGAAAACCAAACAATAATGTTTCAAATATTTCATTGAATAATTTTTCAAAATATGTTAACGAATTTCTGAAAGACCTAGCGATAATATAATTCAAGGATAACTTGTACTATTAAAATTTCAAAAATAAACCTACATAGTATGATTACAAGAAAAATGATAATTTATGCAATACATTAACATACTAATCTGATTTTCGTTAAAAATATTTGTAAACGGACAGTACTGTACACATGTTAATAAATAACAATGAAATATCTTACGTATATATTTTAACTATGGTCGAGGTAACCGTCTGATAATGATGATTTTTCACCGCTGAAGTTTGCATTCTTCTCCTTACAATATCCAAAGGATAACTGCTTGTTTGTCCTACTACTCCAGCTACTGCACCACAAAGAAGTGACAAGGCAGTTGTCATTCCAGGGATTCCCGTTGTGTAATGGGAATATTCTATTTAATAAAGAATTTATTTAAATAAGACATGGACAACGATGATGACGAATGATGTGATGATTAGGAAATGTATATAAAATAAAAAAATAAAGATTTACCAGCAACTAGATGCTTCAGAGTATCATAAGTGAAGAAACTTGTTCCAGCGTATGGTATAACACCTAACATCGTTGGTGTAAAACCACGATAAAATGAAATAAAACCTTCCTCCTGATAAATCCTTCGAAACATTTGCCTTAAAGTTTTGTACTCGCTTTTCAAGGTCACTGCCATTCTAGCACGTACGAGATCAAGTGGATAAGTTAAACCCTGTGATGTAACACCGGCTAAAGAACCCGCCAATAACCTTTTTATAGGTACAGTTCTGAATGAAAAAAAAATTGAATTGGAAATCTGTCGAATAATAAATTCACATTTTTTCGATTAAATTATTTTATAATTATTATTTATTAAACAATTAAGAAATTAGTAATTTGAAAAAAATTGTTAAATTTATCGAATATATTAATGAATTTTCTTTACGGTGTGACTTTTTATTGCGAACATAATTATAATCGGATTATAGAATTACAAATTTTGATTAGAAAGAAATTAAAAGTACACAAAAAGAAAAGAAAAATAATAATAATTTATGATAAATAAATGATTCGCGCAAATTCTGTTGAGAAAATAATAATTAAATTGGACCTTGTGATCTTACGTAATATATTAAATTTCATCTTACGTTTCTGGACTTTCGACTTGAAGTATTCTCTTCCATTGTTCATGAGCTGTAAATTGAATGGCTGCATATGGTACAATCCTAACCATCGTTGCACTGTTACCTCGCCATAAACTCAATAGTCCTTCTTTTTGAAATGAATTGATTAGGAAAACTAGAGCAGCTCTCGCCGAGTATGGTCGTTTCGAAATTTGAAAATTGATCTTTGTGCGATCTAATGGTGCTATAACTGTCTTTGCTAAACCACCGGCTGTTGCACCAGCTAATAAACTGGTCCATACCCTCTGCACGTTCGAAATGTTCTCCTTGCATTCTTCTTTTTTCTATTAATTAACAAAATACCGTACAATTTTGTTTAATCATTTATATAATATATTAAAATTTTTCAAACTAGTATATATATATAATTAAATATTAAATAGTAATATTAAAGTAGTACAAATATTTAATCCTATTTGTATTATATCTCAATTTTATAATTTATTCTGGATAAATTTTCATTTTATTTTATTTATATATATATATACTATTGAATACAACCATGCATAGATAGACACATATATCTTTAGAATAACATTTTAATAAAATTATTTCCAAATACAATTTTGTTGATTAATAAGAAATAGAATGAGAGTGATACGTTCGGAACAAGCAAAAACCTCGGAGAGATAATAGAACAAAAAAAAATACATACAAATATCTTTGATAGTATCGAATAGCGAAAGATACAAATATACAAAAAAAAAAAAATATATAATCTAATAATAAATACCGTGGTTTGATCCAGGTTAAGATCGGATCGTGACGAAGATGTAGTAGAATGTGTCATGGATATGGTGCTGATAGATTTAACACTACCATGAATCCTCTTCAAAATTACTTGACTATTTTCCACGGATTTTACTCCAACGTGTCTGCTCATCCTTTTTGACCATTCATTTTTGAAATTTTCTATTCAATTTCAATTAACAAGACAGGAACAACAGCAACGAATATTCAGCAGCTGCACCTTCGATGATTTCTTGCCGTTATTATTTTTTCTTTTTCTTTTTTTTTAATCGATCGCAATCCCCGACTACGAAAGAATTATATTTTTATTACGACTTTTTTTTTTTTCTACACGTATAAATTGAAAAAGAAAACGAAAATGAACGAAAAAAATACAAATCAAATAGAACAGAGTGATCTGTTTCTTGATATCAACGAGATACTACTAACGTATATATTTTCAAAGTATTGTGTGTTGTATCGAAACAATATATTTTTTTTTCTAATCAGGTTTATCATACAAACACCTTGGTAGAAGATAATTATATATCGATATGTTTGCTTTCTATCTTTCTTCCTCTTTCTGTTTCTCTCTATCTCTCTCTTTCTATCTATCTATCTATCTATCTATCTATTTATCTATCTTTTTCTATAGGGTATCTGGTAAATGTGGTTTTATTTTTACGAATTTAACGTTAAATCAAGATACGATATGAAGAATAATTATTTATAGTTATCTAAAACATATTAAGATACGATCTAATTTAAATCGTTATATGATGAAGGATAAATTATGATACTTGGACTTTGCATATGACGTAGAAATATTATAAAAATTTATTAGATATTTATTATTAAAGATCATGACGAGACGCCTTATTAAGAATACGTTAGGTTTTAAAATACTCTAATTATATAATTATTTAATTATTAACAGTAAGATTATTGAACGTAATAATCGTAAAACGAGGTGATAACACTTTGTTCGTGTACAAACAAAAAGGATTGAACAAAATTATCTCAAAAATTAAATCTCTGGTAATAACTTTTATATCAGATAAGAATGAAAATAATTTTAATTATGTGATCAAATATGAATATATACGGAAAATGAAAAAGCATTTTGAATTTTGATCGAATTAATATTAAAGAAATATTAAAATATTACGAAAATAAAAAAATGTTTTTCTATAAATAAATGTAACGTTACACACGCGCATTGAAAATAGTTTTTAACAAAGTAAATCTTCAGATTTATTATTGAAAAGAAATAAAAATGAACGATACGGTATTTATGTAAACAAATTTTGAAAGTTTACTAATGTAAATTAAAAAAAAAAAAAAAAAAAAAAAAATTTAAATTAAAGATACAAGACATCTAAGAAGATTTTCATATTTAAACAAGCCAACACAAATATATATATATATATATATTATATTATATTGTGCATGTGTCTAAAATGCTAATGACTAAATCAAGGCCGTCTCGTTCATTTATTTTCTGCAATAATACGAACTTTTGGCATCGGCATAAATTAAGTCCCTGAGATAAAAAAATAAATGAAGCTTTTTTCTTCTTTTTCTTTTAATTCAATTATCATTTTTCTCAAAGATATTAATCATTCTTTCACACAATTATTGGAATCGTGTAAAATTCGTTATTAATAATCTATCTATTATATTTATTTTCATTGCAATTATTTTAAATTTTCGCGCTTTTTTAATGTCGATAATCGAATACTCGTAAGTTTATTTCTTTTTATGTATACTTCCAATTAGTTCATTCAGTTAATTGAGAAGATAAGAAAATTAATAATTACATCACACATGTGTATATATATATATATACATTCACAAATGCATATATATACATACTTCTTTTTTAAAAATTAGTACTTTCTTGAAATATTTAAAATTCTATCTGAAAATAATGATATTTCGTTCTTAAATCGAGATAAAGTATACATTGTCAAGTTAGAAACGATAAAATCGATCTCTAAGAAAAATCATCTTATTACTTTACATATATTACCATACATACAATTTTAATACATACACGCACATACACGCATAAATATACGTAGACCACATACATACATCGATCGATCATCTTACGTCAAAGAGCAATTACGTAAAAGATAGTTTCGACCGAAAACTTTGTTAAACGAATAAACAAATAATTTTTCTATGATTTATATATATACAAATAAATTAACAAACAAGCATATATATATATATATATATATATATGCTTGTTTGTTAATTTATTTGTATATATATAAATCATAGAAAAATTATTTGTTTATTCGTTTAACAAAG